CCTGCCTTCTGGGATTGAGCCTTATTCTCCTTTCCCTTTTATTTCCACAAGATGATAAATTGGTCACTATTCTTTGTCATAGACTTTCAAAAGCAACAGCTTCCTGGCTGAGCATTATAGACCATATTTCTGTGCTAGTTTGATAGTGGATATTAATAACATGAGCAACCACCTCTCAACCAAAAAAGGAAGGTGAAAGTACATGGTTTGGGTTGTTGAGTCCCATCCTCCCAGCCCACATCATGGGTGTGTGCAAGGGATTTCTGATGCATGCTTATGTGAACAACCAGTATGCAGTCAAGCTGTTTCCAGTAAATGGCTTTTAAGACTTCAGCGCCCCTGCCACACAAATACCCATTGTTCACATGCAGGATCCGCCTCCCTACCCTTTCATTATAAAAGCACAGATCACAACAGTGGCATGCTTATCTTAGCAGGGTGTTAAGTCTCACCAACTGAGTAACAGCCTCTGGTTTAGGATTAGAAAAAGGTTTACCCCCAGATATTCTGAAACATCCAAAATGCAGGGCAAAGCTCATGTACAATGTCAGCGCTCAGGCAACAGTTTTAAGAAGGTAAAATGGGAATAGACTGAGTCTGAACCAGATGAAAGCACTTTTTTATGAGAATGAGTGCAAGACAACTCTGATGGAGAAACAGGATGATGTTTATCAGCAGCTGTCAGCCTGGAGAGGCTGATCTGAACTGTCCTCTGCAGAGAGGTCAGCTGCTGAGCAGGCCAGTGTCTTACCTTCAGAATACTTGAATCTCCCCTTAGGCTAGAATTAGTATGTATGAACACTCTCATACATGCATTCATGCATTGAAAGCTCCAGCCAAGAGAAATGCAAATCTCAAGAGCAGAGTAACAGCTATAAGAAGTCCAACATCTAAAGGAACTGTTTCTCTGGCTAATAAAAACTAACGAATGAGCCTGGACTGGCATCACACCATTCTACCCTAAATAGAGTCCTGCATTTTCTATAGAGACAATATTAGTTATTTGGACAGCTGCATTCAGCAGAGCAGACGAGTGTCCTATGGTGAAAGTCTCCTACATGGTCCTACTGATGGAAAAGTCACACCTTTATTCAGCCTATGGCTTGCACCTTCTTTGCTCCTTCTTCGCTCCTTCTTCATTTGATCCTCCTTTTACCATGAGCTGGCTCTGAGCCCAGAAGACAAGGCATCTCTCCTCTTTTTTAAGGGATAGGTAGTGGAGCTGGAAAAGGGCCTCATCAGATGTTAAGAACAGTGCTGAGAGGAATCTTATAGACAGTGAGGCTAGAAGCAGTGTAACAACCTGTGAGAAAACCAGCAGTTTTCAGGTGACTTCCTTAAGAAGCAAAATTCTAGTGGCACTCAGGACATGAGGCAAGGAGGGAGAAGCACAGAGACGAAGGCAGGATAATGGCTAAAGAACAGCAAAGAAGTAAGGAAAGACAACATACATCAAGGACATAAAGGAAAATTGAAATAGACAGTTTAGTGCCTCCAGAGAAAGGCAGAGGACATCAGCAGGTAAAATTCAGACAGAAGTGGCATACTGATGTCTATACAAGGGTCTTGGGGGAACAGATTAAAGGACAACATCTGTGGACGCACTGCATGGTGTAAAAGGAACAGTATATTTGAAAGGAGAGAAGGGAAATTTGGAAACAAGAGCTGAAAAGCTGGAGGAGGGGGGGATGTTTGGGCCCTTAGAGGCACATAGGAGCAACTCATACTGCTGGGATCCTTCACACGACAAGAACCATTTTCTTCCAACTTTGTGGGCAAAAGTCAGTGTGAGCTCACGGACTGGCAGCTCCCTTCTCACCTGCCTCCAGGAGAAAGCAGCCTTAACTGCATGACCTGTTCAGCTCAGTGTTATGAATTTCACATCCGAGATTCTCTCAATATGTAACGGCCTATATTTCCTAAGGCCTCAGTCAGAATGGCTGGGATTTGCAAGGCATGTGTGTCACATTTAGCCATTCCTGCTTCAACTCCAAAATCAGCAGGGCACCAATACAGATGAAAGAAGACTGGAAGAACAGAGCAACATGGCCAGGTTTTCACAGCAAGAAAGGAAATGCTGTGTAGGCAGTCTGGACCAAACAGCTCTGGATTTTAATTAGGCACTTTTCTTCTGAGGGGTCTAATAAAAATGGAGCACTTGGCCATTGGTCTGGCAGGTGGGAACATTGCAGGTGAGTCAGCCCAGGCTAATGTTCTGGGAGAACAGGACTTTGGAATAAAAGGAATAGCTGTATTTGAGTTAGATGTGCCTGGACATCTCAGCCATACAAAACTGGAGCAGCACAAGACAGCATACAAGGGCTCTGTAGTACTGCTACAGCTCAGGACCAGAGGCTCAGTCCTGATGTTCCCCTCTAGTACATCTGAAATGCCCTTATCATGGAAAAAGAGTAGGAATCAACTTAATTTCTTCAAGTGAGAATATGAAGACTCTGTCTTTACCCTCTCCCCCACCCTTGTGTTTGGAGTCACCCACGGGCAAGCACATGTCCTTTGACCAGTGCCAGTTAGGGCAAGCTCTTAGAACAGCTCTTGCACGCTTGCTCATATTATGTGGGTGGCCAAACCACTGGCCAGCTGGCATATAAAAGTGCTCATCCTTTCTACAGATAGATTCAAGGGATAGTGTGTACCACCAAGGAGGTAATTAATTAAAAACCTCCTAAACCAGAAAATCCTGTGGTGAGTATTCTGGTTGGGGGAGGGGGGAGGAGGAGGAGTTGTTGTTTTGGTGTAGTTAAAAGAACTGCCTAAACAATATGTTTAACCAGGAAAGAGTAAATAGGGAAATGATAATTATAAAGCACAATTCCACCCCACCCCCCACAAAGATTAGCCTCTGGTGCTATAATCTTTTGAGCAGAAAGCTGCCCTCATTTACACTAATAAACACAGGAAAACAAACATAATCAGCTGTGGGATGCAGTGATGAACTCAACCAGCATCTTCTATTTCTCACTTTTGCGATTGCACTCCGACAGACATTTCAGTTTGGCGGCAGCAGTCTTGTATGTGAAAGCTAAACCCAAAATGCGGTGCACAGCTCCTGAGGCTCACTTAATCTTAGTTAGACTGGCAGAAATAATGAAAGAGGTGTCAAGGGTGATACACAGCAGGCCCGCTGGAGCCCCCCGCTGCCTGGTACCAAAGGAAGAGATCCTCAGCCTTATCAGATCTCCTTGGTAAAGACTCCGCACATTCCTAAGGAGAAGCTCAGGACCAGGCAGTTGGATAACCCAAATCTCTGGGCAAGAGATATGGAACAGGCTGAAATGTCTTTGATCAGTTGAAAGGAGAGAGAAAAAAGAAATAAACTCCACAAAAAAAACAACCCAGCACCCTCCCCCAAATGCTCTCCAATACTGTGCTGCTGAGAGGCCATGACTGAGTTAGGAGTTAAAAATTCCTCCAGCACAGAAGAGCTGCAGATAACCCATCCACCACCACGTGCTAAACATAGCATCCAGTTAATGCTGATTTTTAAAAGCTGTGCTGTTATTACTGCTTATGTCAAAAAAAAAAACAAACACTAAAATAATTGCTTTTATAACTAAGTCTGCTTTGCATTAGCTTGGTTCTTGCCTCTGCCAGAGCAGGTGATAATTACACTTTTGTTTAGGGTAAGCATTGTTCTTACATTTTCTCATTCATTTTTCCAGCGATTTTAAACCTGTGGGCTCAAACCTCTGGAATTTTGCAGACTGTTTCTGAGAGGCACAAAACAGAAACAACCATATGATCACCAGGCGTAAACTTCTTTGAAATGTTTTCACCTGAAAACTGCAACGGTCCATAAACCCTAAAGACTGGAAAAAGTACTACCGGTTTGGTTTAGAAGCCCTGTAGGGGATTACAGACACCACAAAACAAGAGCAGCATTGTGATAGCATTGAAAGTGTTTGCATGCTGAGCATAGTAGTCTGTAAAATTAAAAGACAGTATTTCACCATTTAGACTTGCAATATAGCAGTACCTTTAACAATAGAGAATTAAAAGATTATGTTTTCTGCATTATTTCATTCGAAAAGATGATAAAACAGAAGAAGAAAATGAAAAGGCACACATTGGAATTTTCTCCAAAGTAGAAACTAGCTGCGACCTCTTTAAAGTATTAAATGAATTAGTACGTTAAAGCTCCCCCCCCCATGTCCCTGTGGAAAGCAAAATTGTGCCATCTAGCGGGATTTAAACCAAGTCTTAGCTCTGCGTTCCCACTAGGCGCAAACGGACACCATATAGACCACCTCCACTTGAATCTGTTTACATTATTGTGTGGACTTTCTTGTATTCCACTTTGCTCCCACGTCCAAACGCCTCCTCTGCTACAGCTGCAAGAAGGGTCTGTTCACGCTGCCAGGCTTAGGGGCAGAGAGGATATTATATGCTCAGAAGGGGAATATTCAGAAACTCAGTCCGGACCTACATGATGGCCAATGTGTCACGAACAAACAGAGGGTGCAACTTCACAGGGCAGACTCTTAAAACAGGTAAAAGCAGGGGCAAACACAGCAAGGTTGGCTGGCTAGGGGGAAACTTCACTCCTTGAGCAGGCAGCACTGGCAAGGTAAAATACATCCCACGAAAGCTGTTTTTTTTCCCAGGATCTGGAGAAGCTTTTTAATTTATCTGCTTTATCCGTTTTTCTTCTTGTTTTCTGATTTGCTGGGAAAGATAGGGGAAAATGATTTTCATTAGTATGACTTGGTAAATTTGGAACACTGAAGCCACAGGGCTCACCATGGATTAAGACTCTCCCTTTTGCCATGCAGCCAGCAATGCTGGTTTGCACAGTTTTAGGGCTGGTGTATGCAGACAACACTGTAACACAATCCCATTTCCTAGTATGCTTTTGTAACCTTAGTTAAGCAATAGGCTTAACACAGATTTCAGTATGATCTTTTAATCTTTGCCCTTTATGGATTAGTGTACCCGTATGCCAGACAGTCGTTTCACTGCTTGCAATTTTTTTCTTCTGTGCTAGTCGTAGGAGAGAACCATATAGCATACAACTGCAATACTAAGTCAAAGTGCTCCAAATGACTTACATACCTATCTAATAAAACCTGCTAGACAGGAGTGCTCATTATTGCCTCAGCCACAACAGGTCCATAACAGGAGTAACAGCTCCATTTTCAGTATCAGTAAAAGTAAAGTTCACTGGCCAATCCTCAAATAATTAACAACTCTTTCCTCTACACATGCAGTGAGAAGTGACCTTTTCCAACAAAACATAAGCTGTTTTTCTCCAACTCAGATCATCCCCTGGAATAATTGGATCATCTCTGCCTACCGCCAGACCTTTTGTCTTGTATGAATCAACATGGAAAGGAATCTTAAGAATGTTTTGATCATTTCTTTCGGATTTTTACTTCTCTTCACTGCTTATGGAGGACTCCAGAATCTACAGGTAAGAGGAGATTGTGCTACTGGTTGGCAGGACAGTTGGCATGGAATACCATCAGGCCAGCTGGTAGTGTGAGACCCATCAGTCTTTCCATGGTTTCTGCAAGGAAGGCATGCATCAATTTGCTACAGGTTAGTATTCCTCACCCTGATTCCCAGCATTTACTGAATATTTTATTCTAGTACTTCTCAAGTAGTTTGAATACTTGTGTCTGAGTACTTTAGGTCTGCAAATTAGTCGTTAGGATGAAAACTGAATTTCTGTGAGATTTTTCTCAAAATAAGATTTTGCAAAATGGAAACCAAATCCCATTTCTGGAAAGGGTAAAAGAAGATATTGCAAAATGGAAAAGAAATTTAATCTCTGGAAAGGGTTTGTTTTGAATAATTCTAAATTTCCAAAATATTATTGTTATGCAACAATGTAAAATATAAAATGCACAATCCATTAAGTATAATAATATAAGTATAAAATCATACAATAATTCCTGGCATCATGATATAGCATAATAATAAAAAATATTATTTTAAATCAAAGGCAGATTTGCCTTGTATTGGTATTAATATCTTAAAGCACAGTAGCAGAGATGGGTTTATAGAATGACAGGTCCCTGCTAGCTCTTTACATTTCTTTCTTCTCCTTTCCTTGAGCAGTTTCTCTTTGTTGACAGTGTCAAATTCCAAGTTCAGGGAAGTTCTGCACAAACAGTCCTAAAATGCATGGAGATCTTATGAGCTGTGCAGACTGATAAGCCAGGGAAAGATAAACCCAAGAAGCCACTAGTCAACCTACCATCTGAAACAGGGCACACTCAGGGTAAGTGCTTGAATATAAAGCCTCCTCTAACACTGCAGGAGGCAGTGGTGCTGATTCGCAAATAGCCCTCTTCTTTCTCCATTTTGTCTTGGTGGTTAAGAGGACTTGATGAGATGTAATCAAAAGTAAGTTATTTTATTGTATTGTAGCCTGCAGGAGAAGTATTAAATCCTCTTATAAGGAGAGATTGTGGGAGCTGGACCTGTTTTGTCTAGAGAAGAGAAGACTTGAGAGGGCATCTCATTAACGCCTATCGATATCTCAAAAGCTAGTGCCAGGAGGATGGTGCCAGACTCTTTTCAGTGGTGCCCAGCAACTGGATGAGGAGTAATGGCCATAAACTAAAACACGAGAAGTTTCGCCTCAACATGAGGAAGAACTTCTTTACATTGAGAGCACTGGAACAGGGTGCCTAGGGAGGTTGTGGAGTCTCTGTGAAGACATTCAGAACCTGCCAGGACACAGGTAACCTGCTATAGGTGATAGGAGGGTTTGACTCGATGATCTCCAGAGGTGTCTTCCAGTCTCAACCATTCTGAGGTTCTGTGATTCCTCCCTCAAAAAAAAAACAAAAAAAAACAACCCAAAGCAGCAAGAATTGAGCTAATCATATGATTTTGAAAGCCTGGCTTCTAGTTTTTGGAAGCTGTAGCTGACGAAACTGGGCTTGTGGTGTTTCAGAGATATGACCTCTGTGATCAGGAAGCCTCTTTGCCTGTTTACAAAGCAATCATTTTGATTCTTAGATATGCTGACCCTGCATAGCAGAGAATCTCCTCACCTCCCTTTCCTGATACCTGCTTCTTGCTAGGGATGTTGTGTGGCTGCCATCATGGTCCTGCATGGCCAGGCCATGTAGCTGCTGGAGGGCTTGGAAGTGTTCAGTGCAGGTACCAGCAACCTTGCCCTCCTATAGCGCTCTCAAGTGCTACCCTCAGAACATCCATTCCCTCTTCCAAAATCGAACTGGATCATGTTAGCTTTTAATGAAAAGGAAAAGGAAAAAGTTGATAAGCAGCATCTCAATCTTCTCATTGCAAGTTTCACAGTATCAAGACAAGAGGAGAATTTTTAAGCATAAAAAATATAAAACTTGGTTAGATCAGTAACATGTTATACCTCCCTTGTGAAAGTGTCGGTGAATCAATTACTTCCAACTACAGAGGGCTGTTGTGAGCTGTGAACACTTTAGGATATTTGGACCTTGGCCTCGGAAGAATTTAGAAATGTCAGACCTGTATTTAAAACAAAGAATCTTCCACTGTTGCTAAATCAGCCCTTGCAGTGCAGATCTGATGATATTCCTGCCTGAGACAAAAAGCGAAGGCCAAGAAAAGAGGTTATCCTTCATTCAGCTTGCTTTCAAAGAGAAACTCAAGCGAATTACATTAAATAAAGTCTGACTCATGAAAGCTTTGAATCTGAGCAATGCTCACCTGGTTTTGTATCATATTTTCATAAATAGGCTATCATTGTTAGGAAAAACACAATACACAAACAACACAATGACTGTGATAAAATTTGTCTCAACTGCTGTTGTTGTCAATGCAGAGCAGTCTCCATTCAGAAGAAGGCCTGGGTGTTGCATCCTTAAGTGTTCTCTATGCTGCGCTCATCTTATCCTCCATGTTCCTCCCTCCAATCCTCATCAAGAAGCTGGGCTGCAAGTGGACCATAGCAGGCTCTATGTGCTGCTACATCGCATTCTCCCTAGGAAACTTCCATGCTAGCTGGTACAATTTATATACTTTAACTCTGTCTATTGTGTTTGAATCAAATCGGTAAGGGCAAAGTTCGTTCTTCTCTGTGTCTGTGTTGCAAAATTTAAAGTTGGATGCAAAAAGTGTTACCTGTAAGAAGGAAATGAAGCAGAGAGGTAAAAATGTGCAAAAGGCCAGAATGAATGCATCCGTCCACCCACCTGAAGCTGCTTCTCTAGCTCCTGTGTGTAGCAGAGATTTCCCTTCAGAAAAAAAAAAAGGAAATCATAAATTTCATTAAAACCCAAGTTAATTTAAGGACCATTTTTGAGAAGATTGAAGGGAAAGCTGTCTTCTGGCTAGTGGTTCTGGGAGCAGAGGACCACAGGAGGATGCCAGATTCTGCTTTGCCATTTCAGAGGTGGATGAAGAGCTTCTGCTCTCCAGTGACAGGGAATGCAGTTCTGCAGAGGAAGGTTGTTTTGATCCATCTTCTGAAGGGCAGGTGCAATTTGATTCTCAGTTACAAAAGGATAAGGCACATGAGCACAGACCTAGCCAGCCCAGCCTGGGCCTAGCACCTGGACACAGCTGGGAGTGCTTGCACATCCTAAACTTCATAAGATTGTCCCTTTCTTGGTTCCATGTAACGGATTTATTGGATCACACAAAGGATAAATCTATTTCTTTATGTTTATTTTTGTGACTGGATCTTTGGGCAAATGATTATTATGGTAATGGATAATAACTATGCTAAATAAAGTGTTCTTTGGCAGGTACACACTAATTCCTACCTCTGTGATCCTGGGCATAGGAGGAGCACCACTATGGTCTGCCAAATGCACTTACCTCACCATAGCTGGCAATGCATACGCTGAGAAAGCAGGAAAAAATGGGAAAGACATTATCAACCAATACTTTGGGGTCTTCTTTCTGATATTTCAGTCCTCCGGCATCTGGGGAAATCTTATTTCATCCTTGGTATTTAGCCAAGCTTCCTCCAAAGGTAAAATATATTTTAAAATCTTGGCACTTCTTTCTATAAACATCAGCTGGTTCTAGATAGTTAAAAGGTAGATTTCTGTAGCTGAGCTTTCACAGACAATGGAAACAGGCACTTTTCTCTGGAAGTGTCTATTTTCTATCATCTTTTCATCATCTATAAAGAGAATTCAGACAACCAGCTCAAAAATAAATGTCTGTTGAATTCCTTTCGAATTCCACCCCTATATTGTAACGCATAGATAGGCTCTGGCAGTGGCAGTCTTTCACATCTGATTTCTGTTTAAAGTGGACTAAAACAAAAGGCAAAATACTGAAGAAGCCTTTTCACAAAGCTTGTAGTATCGGATTGATTTGCTGTTGAGCATTCAAAGTTAGTCAAGCCGATGCTGGTGCTTGCTGAAAATGAGTGCTTTACAGAATTGTCAAGAAGAAATAGAAGTAGCTGTTGGCAGGAGCCTGCATGCCAGGGCTCCTCTGCTGCATTACAGGCTCAGACAGCAGATGCCCATGTAGCTTGAAGAAATCACTCAACAGTGCTGCTCTCATTTCCCATGCTTGTAATTGATATAAGCCTTAAAAGGGCAGTTGTGAAGATAAATTAATAGTTGGATGCCACTGCAGAGATTCAAAGTAGAAGGGTGTATTATCATTGCAGTCTCCAGTGCATTCCCTATCCTGTCACAGTCTGAACAAGATGGACATAGAAAGAGCCTTCCATACACACTGCTACTATGAATAGCAAGAAGTTAGCTCTCTCCTCTGGCTCAGTTCAGCAGTATGTCCTCTAGAAAGTATTCAAATAGGTATTAGGTTAAAACTAAATGTCAGGGAGCTGGCATCAGGTTTTAGTATTTGAATTCTTGGGTTTATGGCAAAGTAGTTGTCACAAGGTGTGGCACTTACTTCCTTTAAACCTAAGAAACTACAAATGAAACACGGTCAAAGCAGAATGCTAAAGGACTGCATCAACTGCAACAGAGCCCTGCTGATCTAATGACCTGATCCACATATCTTGGGAGGGACTGTCTGTTCTGATTTCATTTGCAGGACAGAAGCTGTGGTGCAGCTGTGGGGTCTGCACAGAGAGCAACCATTTTACTCTCTTCAGCTTCACAGCACACATCATATTAATAAGGGGATTAAAATACTGGGGGTTTATTTTTTGGTCCTGTAAATCCCCTCCTGATTTTACATTGGAGAATGTTCCATTAAATTCTAAAGAAAATATTTTACTTATTTTTTGCCAACTACATTGGATTTCAGGAAATGCTCTTTTCCTGGGAGGTGTGCTGTGAACAGCTCTCAAAGCCAAAGTCCTTGCCTATCTTCACAACAATGATGAGCAGTCATACCATAAGCTTTCCAGCTGTGCCTTCTCAGTGAAACTCAGCTTTAAAGTAGAGAGAGCTTCTTGTGGGTGAGGGGGTAAGGATCTCCAGTTACTCACTTCTTTTCCACTCCTCTGACAGTGCAGCAAAGGCACCCACCTCTATTGCTCATATGCTTAAAATGTATAATTTCACTGAGCAGCCAGAAAGATAGATACGGTATGCACCTACAGAATCAAAATGCATAAAATTCAGACACGTACATACACTTGACATATTGCCTGCATCACTGCATCCAGACACAGCAAGGCAAGCTACACCATGAGGTAATACTACAAAAGAATGTAAAAAACAAGAGTCATCCTTTCTTACTCATCAATATTGCAGCTTTATTTGTAGAGGAACAGAGCAAACCCTGCCTTGCAACTTCCATGTCACTAATTGCATGTGCATCTTCATCTAGAGGATGCATGAACAGATAGAAAACTTGTTTTACGGACTTCTGCACTCTACTAGTGTGACTCACCATTTGCATATGGTGATTTTGCTCCAGGTCTGTTTGTTCAAAACTGCAGTGGTAGCCACTGGCTATAATAAGGTAATGATTTTGTTCATGTTAAGTTTTATCTGATGTTGAACCTACAGTTGTTTATGAAGCTAGCTAAACAGCTGGTTCACATTGCAGCGGCTTTGATTGGAAGCAATGGAGAAAAACACACTCAAAGTAGTTACACAATAACCTTAAATGCAAAATTACAGGTCAAGCCCTGTTTAAGGAATCAGCCAAGGTACAGTGTATTGCCCTTTGTTATGCTTGGACCAGTGACAAATTCTGCAGTGAAAACATTGAAACAATTCTATGTTTTTTTGATCATTCTTCCCCTCTATACAGCTTATTAAAGCTTACGCTTTGGGTTAGTATTTTTTCTTTACAGGAAGGAGAAAGTGGGCATGGTACTGTGGTAACACACAAGGTGCGTGAGTACACACGTGGCTTTGACATATGCTCAGTACAACACTGATGGGATTGAGCAAAGCAAAGGTCTTACTACAAACCCTGCCAAACTGTTCTAGTTTGAAGTACATTCTCAAAGAGTAATAAAACCATAAAGTCATAAAGTAATAAAGCCAAGAAAAGCTGATTTCTTGGAAGACTCTGTTTGTGGGTAATCATAATTTGAATTCATAAAACAAAAAGATGTCTCAAGGTGGCTTCCATTCCCATAAAGCATACAGAAATCATATGGAGAGGGATAATGTGCCCTGGCTGTAAGAGCTGAAATCCATCAGTTCAGTGGTGGTATAAACTGAGGGACCTGTCTTGTGGGGTATTACGGTTAAGAAATATAGAGAGATACACACTGGAACTTTATATACTTCAAATCTAGCTTGGATTCATATTTTAGTCTTTGGATTTAATCCATGTCTCCATCTAGCCATCAATTCAATGTTCTGCCTTGAGCAACTACTTTTGGTAGATCAAATTTTTATGTGTTAAACTGATATTCTAAAGTTAATCAAATCTAATCAGGAAGGATTTGAAACCAGGACTAAACACCAAGCACTGGATTCTCTTCTTCTTCTATCCTTATATAGACCATGCATTCACCTGATCTCTTCCCTGACCAGTGTTTCTTTTGATTCTTACTGAATTAGTGGAAATCTCAGAAGTGGCATGCTGTGGAGCATATGACTGCATGACTAATACCACTAACACCACTGAGTCAGCAGAACCCTCCAACTCCTTAATCTACATTCTGCTAGGGATCTACACTGGTAAGTAATTCACACAGTCTTTAATGGATATCATTGATAGGGAGCCTACTACTTGTGAAACCTAGTGTGACTTTGTGGATAAAGTTTCCAACTTCCGCCCTCAATCCAATTTGCTAAAAGGAAATAAGGTATGTGAGAGCTGTAAACAACTCCTTCCCAAATACTTTCAAATGCTCTGTGCCAGTGCCTTACCATTTTTGTTTCTAGGAGCAAGGCATTCTTTACACTCTCCACCTGGAATAGAGCTGAATTCCAGCATGGTGACCCCTCTGTTTCACCCAAAGTCTGTGTTGCTCTATAGACTAGAATCATCTATAGACTAGTATGCCCATATTGAAATTAGAGGATTACAGCAGTTTATCCAGTTATTCATGAGATGATAGGTTTAAATTCACTACCTATCTTCAAGATCAACCATAGTGAACTAGTTGCTGATGGCACTGGGTAACTTTATATACACATGCAAAGGTCCAAGATGCCAAGAGCAGGCCAGCTGTAGTGGTACTTGAACTTACCAGCTTCTAGTTATCTGGGGATGCCTATCAGAACTGGCTGGTGTTCTACCAGGTGTAATACAGTTTTAGCACAAGAACTGCACTGTAATTAGAGGTGGACCTGAACCAGGGCTCCCAGAGCATGCAGTCGTTTTCGGGGAGGTTTTTGGACCCCCACTGAGACTTTACAACTTCAGTCAATTCTCATCCGTGTGGCCTGAATTACAATACCTTAGTGTGAAAGGCAAAGATAAAAAGAAGCACTAGACGAAGTGGCATATCTCCCCTTCAGTAACTACAGCTGCTATAGACTTTCCTTGCATAAGGTTAGAAAGGAATCAAAGACAGAGAAGGCTGATGCCATCCAAAATCAGAAAGACAAAAATAGATGTGCAAAGATTCATTCAGTGACGAAAGTTCAAAAAGTATCTGGCTCAAAACAAGTTATTCTCTGGATAAAGTGGAAGTATCTGGAAAGGCAATATGTCACCTTAGCTCTGATTAAATATCTTTGCAGTCCCTGCATACAGATATACCTTCTTTGCTGGGACAGATGCATGTAATTTGCCATATGCTCAAACAGAATGTGACTTGGTCAAAGCCAGCCCTCACTGGACAGGGGCATCGCAGGAAAACCTCCTTCCTTCCCCAAGCTCCATTCCTAATTGGTGAGAAAATGCAAAGGATATTCCCCCCACTTCCCTTCCAGAGTGTGCTGGAGCTGATGTCTTTCTGCTAAAGGCAGGCTTGGCTCACAAGTTTAAATTTAAATTTGATGACTAACATATACAGCACTCCCTTAGGCTGGGATCATGCAAAATGAATGCAATCTTGCTGTCTACTGACCCCGTGTCAGTAGGGTTTCATTTTTCTTTTAAGCTCTTAATAAAAGGCATGTCTTTTCCTACCTTGAGGGAACCCAAATAGCTAACTATTTCATTCACAGACGTTTTTTAAATGTTTCCTCTATTTGGTTGCTGAATACATATCTTGCCCAGCTTGGGTGGAGACAATAATGAGCAACTCTTTTGTTGTTTAGTTTTCCCACAAGCTGTGGATATCTCTATTAATGTTCATACTAACCAGTATTAAGTTACTTATCTCCTATAATTGCTATTGATTCATTTGACATAGAATCATAGAATCATAGAGTAGTTAGGGTTGGAAAGGACCTTAAGATCATCAAGTTCCAAACCCCCTACTGTGGGCAGGGACACCTTACGCTAAATCATATTACCCAAGGCCTCGTCCAACCTGTTTGTAAGATTATTTTTTTGTCTTGTAAATGTGGATGTCCTGCTCTCATCCATGTAAGTAAGTCCTTCAGTCAGTACATAAGCACTAATAAACAGCATGGCAGAGCCAACAATGACGAAGCATTTACAGCTCAGCTACAGTGGAGAATCAGGGCACCGAAGAATACAATTTCATTCTAGGAGGCATGGCTAAGAAATAATAAGTGATAAAAAATGGAAGTAATTTAATATAAATCTGTTAACATATTTGGACATTAAGTTTGCAGAAGAGAGTGTGCCCATACATAGTAACATAGGAGCACATTAAATAGGCAATGCAGATGGGAACAGGTGCCTCGTTCTCCTCTTACTCTGAACTCCACTTGTTTCCATGGATGGAATTCCAGTCAGCATAAGTAAGAGAGGAAACATAATCATGCCTTGCATTTGTAAAGAAGCAATCACTTGTGAATCTGTGGGTGCTCCATGTATATTATGAGACAGTTAACTTCTTCATAACATGAAAAAGATGGTATTGCTTCACTCCACAAGCAAGAAGCCTAGACTGATACATACATGATCATTTTCTGATTAACTACCCCATGTATTCTTTCATATGCTGCTTCTGCTTGGAAATTATAGGGTCAAAGCTGTAATTTGCATCCTTTTCAAGTCCCCCAGAGTTACTCTCTGTCATCTTTAAAATAGCACATAGAATCATAGAATAGTTTAGGTTGGAAGGGACCTTCAAATGTCTTTGAGTCCTACACCTCTGCAATGAACAGGGACATCTTCAACTAGTTCAGGTTGCTCAGAACCACATCCAGCCTGGCCTTGAATGTCTTCAGGTGTCAGGCATCCACCACTTCCCTCGCCAACTTTTTCCAGAATTTTACCGCCCTCACTGTAAAAAATTTCTTCCTCATGTCCAGACTGAATCTCCCCTGCTTTAATTTAAAACCATCACCCCTCATCCTGTCACAATGTTCTGTGCTAAAAGCATGGCTCTGAGCTAACAAAGGAAAAAAAGAAAAGGAAAGAAAAAAGGCAGCATATACTGGGATCCAAGGCAGCAGTTCTACTTCTAGCCCTTTATTATTCTTTCCATGTATTTGGAGGAAGATCTCCCCTAGCCATGAAAAACTTGGCACTGGAAGTGAATATCCCTCTCTCATGTTGATTTAAAGCCTTCTGATAGCTCCCGAGGGAGCTGTTTCTGGCCAGCTCCTTGCCCCCACACCCCTCGCTTGTCCTGGAAGGGTGAGCAATCACCCTCTGTGCCCGATCAGCTGCCCCGGCGTCTGTCACAACAGGTCAGTCGCAGTTAAGCTGAGGGGATTTGAAAGCTGTGCAGCTGTAAGCAGAAGATGTGGATGTAGATCAGGCCTCCTTGTTTGCACAGAAGTGGCCTTTACACTGAAGCGGAATCAGAGGCATCTGCCAAAACATCCCACAGAGAGCTAAGCACTAAGTCAGAACAATAACCGCAGCAAGCAACTTCCCATCATTCTTGCAGCATTCCTCAGTTTTTCATGAACTTTTTGTTTTGTTTTTGCAGCTAGTGGTGTGCTAGCTGTGTTGCTGATTGTTACATTTCTGGACCAGATCAAATCTGACCAAGCAGAGACTGAGAAAGAAATACTAGAGACATCATCCTTTTGGTCTACGTTCCTAGCAACTTTCCAGCATCTTAAAGATAAAAGACAGTGTCTTCTAATTCCTCTGACAATTTACAGTGGGTTGGAACAGGGATTTCTTTCTGGTGACTACACAAAGGTGTGGATGACAATGAAAATCTGTGTCTTTCTGACTGTTTTTTTGTGCCTTTGTGTCTTGCTATTGCATCTGAACTCTATTTCCTTGTTAAATGAAGATGTTTTCAATAGCAGTTTGTGGTTTGCTAAATTACTGCTTACTTCTCGAATGAACTCCGAGTGACAGCTTCAAACAGGAGAGGCCAGCAATAAATGTGTCCCTTGGAACAGCCTCAAAAAGAACAGTGTAGAGAGCTTAACTCACCAGTGGAGGCCACAGCAGAGAGCTACAGGTTCAAACTCTTCAGCTTGTTGTAAATAACAAACTGGGAGAAAAGCCAGCAGCCTGCAAAGCTTTTATATTTTCCTTCCTTCTGGTTTCCCTAGAGTTTGTATAAGTGCAAGTCAGCACACATACCACATATTTTATTTTGACAACCTTTACGGTAACAGGGCAAATCCTCAATGTGGCTGGCTGAAAGCCCTCGCCCGTCACTAGTGCAACAGGTCCAGACTCTGGACTGAAATGATTAAAACCACCTCTGCTCCTCCAGTCTCTCTACAAACCTAAACACACAGCAGGTGTGTTCTCCAGACATTTGTTGAGAAAGTCTCCAAAGAAAGGGGACAATCTTCCTGAGCTGCTTATTTGACACTTAAGCTTTCAAACCTTGCATCTGAGCAAATGGGAGAGTGCACTTGCTGCTGTGTTTGAATGGATTGAATGGGGCACTCTGTGGCCCCTTCCTTGGTTGTATACTCTTACAGGTGAGGTCCTTTTCTTTGGAGCTGCTCTGTAATGACAATACTGCTGACTGTGGATTTTCATCTCTTAGGCTATGAAAGGAAGGGCAGAAAATTCCTAGTGCCACTTCAGGAGTTTTATTTGCACAGCAAGCAGTGCTCTGAATTCTGCCTGTTACTGCTCTGTTTGCATGGCATCAGCCTGACTGGGAACTAGGTTAGGAATATAACTGCTGAAGGCCAACTATGTCAATACACCAGGGAGTTGTCAACAAACTCTGTAGCTGTGCTCCTTTGATCTTGTCCATGCTGGCTATTTACCAAATACTCAGGCTAAGACCCTTGAACTTCAGCTGCTTGTTTTTACTGAAGAAAAGGTGCTATCACTGTCTTTTCTCTTCCAGGCATACGTGACCTGTGCCCTGGGGATACATTATGTTGGTTATGTGATGATCTGCTTTTCAGCTGTAAATTCCCTCTGCTCTCTGCTCTTTGGAAAGATCTCTCAGTTCACCGGTAGAAAGCTTCTATTTGCATTAGGTATGTAAAGGTCATTTGAAGGACTAATCACCTCATGTGATATATATCAAACCCAGTGCTCTCCCCTTTGCATGCACTACAAAGGGAGAGCTCACTGTCAACTATCACTTAAAACCAAAGTCAATCTGGAGGCAAACTTCATTCATAAGAAGAGGGGCAGCACAGTTAACCACTGTACTGAGGTCATTATCATTGAGACCTTACATCACTTTGCTGGTGGTGTAGTTCATCCTGCTTTTGAGGGCATTGTCTACTCAGAAAGTGCCCTGCAGCTTTAATGTTTTATAGCTCTAATGCAACCAGTGATAAATCATCTTACAATACAGATGTTGAGGCCTACACTATGCCTGAGAAGGATTTCTCCATTTGGGTGAAACCTCCCCACCTTTATAGAGTTTCAAAGGTTGGCCTGGTGTTCTTTTCACTACTCGTTGTATAGGGAGAAAAAGGAAAGAAAGTCATGCGACAGCATGTCAGGCTAGAATAAATTGAGGGCTTGTGTGGGATAGTAATTTTCATGTTGCTGTGAGAAGAGATGTGTATATTTAAGGACATTTCCCTCTCCAGGGAAGACTCGAATGAGTAATAGAGTAATGGAGGCATTAAAAAATACCAAGAAATATTTCATTTGTGTCCCTGTATCCACTAAGCTTACTGAAGAGAACTAATACCTGACTTCCACTACAAGAGTAACCTGTATTATTAGAATTGTCACTGAGTCAGTGTGCATCTAGGTATTCTAGGCATTTCCTCCACAGGAAATTTTAAACCTGGGCTACAGTCACTGCTTCAGAGATTTTTCTATATGTCCTGGGTTCAGCAGTAGCAGTCATGTTTTTTCCTTTGTGTTAGCTGGTGCAGTGCTGTGTTTTGACTTCTAGTTTTGAGAACAGCGTTGGTGAAGCCGATGTTTTCGGTTGTTGCTAAGTGATGTTTACCCTGACCAAGGACTCTGTGAGGCTCATGCTCTGCCAGGGAGGAGGGGAAGCTGTGAGGAAGCAGAGACGGGGCGCCTGACCCGGGCTAGCCGGGGAGGTATTCCATACCACAGCACGTCATGCCCGGGGTGGGGGGTAACTGGGAGTGACCCGGAAGGACAGGAGCTTCCGGGTGGAACTCGTTTTCTTGGCCGGTGGTATCGTATTCTCTTCCCTTGTTATTTTCCCTTATCATTGTTTTAGCTGATAGTAGCGGTGGTGATTTGTTGCTGGACTGTTCTTGTCTCAACCCGTAGGAGTTGCACTCTCTCGATCCTCCTCCCCGTTCCTCCGGGAGCGGGGAAGGGGAGAGCCCCGGTGCAGGGAGGGGGGGGGGAGACGAACACGGACCTTGATTGTTGTCAGCTTGGCACCACTCACTGGGAGTGAGTGAACAAGTTACCTGACTGGGTTTAAACCACGACAGTTCTTTTTGGCGCCCAACGTGGGGCTGCAAAGGCGGACTCTGCTGTCAGCTCCCCACCCTCACAGGGCATTTGCCACCATCCATGAGTCAGTATAGAGATAAAGTACTGGCCACTTTTCTCGTTCAGCAATGTCCAGGGCCAGCTGGATGGCTTTCACCTCGGCAAATTGACTCGATTCACCCTCTCCTTCAGCAGTTTCTGCAACTTGTCGTCCAGGACTCCATACAGCTGCCTTCCATCTCCGATGCTTTCCCACAATACGGCAAGAGCCATCAGTAAACAAGGCATACTGCTTTTCACTTTCTGACAGTTTATTATATGGTGGGGCCTCTTCAGCACGCACCACCTCCTCCTCTGGTGACATTCCGAAATCTTTGCCCTCTGGCCAGTCCATGATGACTTCTAGAATGCCTGGACGACTGGGATTTCCTATTCGAGTTCGTTGTGTAATTAGTGCAGCCCATTTACTCCATGTAGCATCAGTTGCATGATGTGTAGAGGAGACCCTGCCTTTGAACATCCAGCCCAGCACGGGCAGCCGGGGTGCCAGGAGGAGCTGTGCTTCAGTGCCAATCACTTCCGAAGCAGCTCGAACCCCTTCATAGGCTGCCAGTATCTCTTTCTCAGTTGGGGTATAGCTGGCCTCAGATCCTTTGTATCCCCGACTCCAAAAGCCGAGGGGTCGACCTCGAGTCTCCCCTGGAGCTTTCTGCCAGAGGCTCCAGGTAGGACCGTTCTCCCCAGCTGCAGTGTACAGTACATTTTTTACATCTGGTCCGGTTCGGACTGGTCCAAGGGCTACTGCATGAACTATCTCGCGTTTAATTTGCTCAAAGGCTTGTTGCTGCTCAGGGCCCCATTTAAAATCATTCTTCTTCCGGGTCACATGATAGAGAGGGCTTACAATCGAACTGTAATTTGGGATGTGCATTCTCCAGAACCCCACTGCACCCAAGAAAGCTTGCGTTTCTTTCTTATTAGTTGGTGGAGACATTGCTGTTATCTTGTTGATCACATCTGTGGGGATCTGTCTACGTCCATCTTGCCATTTTATTCCCAAAAATTGAATCTCCTGTGCAGGTCCCTTGACCTTACTCCGTTTTATGGCAAAACCAGCTTTCAGCAGGATTTGGATTATTTTCCTCCCTTTCTCAAAGACTTCTTCCGCTGTATCGCCCCACACAATAATGTCATCAATGTATTGCAGGTGTTCTGGAGCTTGCCCCTGTTCCAGTGCAGTCTGGATCAGTCCATGGCAAATGGTAGGGCTGTGTTTCCACCCCTGGGGCAGTCGGTTCCAAGTGAACTGGACACCCCTCCAAGTAAAAGCAAACTGTGGCCTGCACTCTGCTGCCAAAGGAATGGAGAAAAATGCATTGGCAATATCAATCGTGGCATACCACTTGGCTGCTTTTGACTCTAGTTCATACTGAAGTTCTAGCATGTCCGGTACGGCAGCACTCAATGGTGGTGTGACTTCATTCAGGCCACGATAGTCTACTGTTAGTCTCCATTCTCCATTAGACTTTCGCACTGGCCATATGGGGCTATTGAAGGGTGAGCGGGTCCTGCTGATCACCCCCTGACTCTCCAGTCTACGGATCAGCTGATGGATGGGAATCAGGGAGTCTCGGTTGGTGCGATATTGCCGCCGGTGCACTGTTGTGGTCGCAATTGGCACTTGTTGTTCTTCAACTTTCAGCAACCCCACAGCAGAGGGATCTTCTGAGAGACCAGGCAAGGTGGACAGCTGCTCAATTTCCTCAGTCTCCAAAGCAGCAATACCAAAAGCCCACCGGTACCCTTTTGGGTCTTTGAAGTACCCTCTCTTGAGGTAGTCTATGCCGAGGATGCATGGAGCCTCTGGACCAGTCACAATAGGGTGCTTTTGCCACTCCCTCCCAGTCAGGCTGGTTTCAGCCTCCAGCACAGTCAACTCTTGGGATCCTCCTGTTACTCCAGAAATATAGATGGGTTCCACCCCTTGACAGCTTGATGGCATCAGGGTACACTGTGCACCGGTATCTACTAGAGCCTTATACTTCTGTGGGACTGATGTGCCAGGCCATCTGATCCACACAGTCCAGTAAATCCGATTGTCCCCTACCTCCACCTGGCTGGAGGCAGGGCCCCTCTAATGGTCGTCACAGCATTGGACACTTAAGTCGTGTTGAAAGGGATTATTCTTCGTTATCACAGGAGCTGGAGTAAAATCAGCTCTTCCACTCCATCTGGGAAACTGCTCACCAGAAACTGAAGCCGTAGCTCTCATGGGACGATCAGTCTTGGCCCTTGCTCCCGTCTTCAGTTCACTCACCCGTTCAGTGGCTGATTGTAAGCTACAGCATAGGGAGGAAGGGCCTGACTCAGCAGATGCCAGAGCCTTCAAAGGGATTAGATCCGTTGCCAAGGAGTTCCACCCTTTTTTCCTCTTTAAATGTGTCTTAAGTATCTTAGTCTTGCATTACATTATATATAAAAAGCATGCTATTGGATTGGCACATCCAGAATAGAGAGCACCTAAACATCAGATTTTCCTGAAGGATTACGATTTGATCATATCTCCATGTGCACACCATTTCATCACTGTGCAAGCAGCAAAATCCATTCCATACAATTAAAAACCCTCAAGCTTTATTAACACAGTAGCTGCAAACATTTCAAAATAGGTACAATAAGAAAGGCCCAAACAACCTAAATCTTCATCAAATAAATATTTATAACCCAAACATACCCCTTGGACCGCAACTTCCAGTCCCCCAGCATGCCTTTGGAGCTGACGTAACACTGTGATTCCTCAGGGAAATTGCCCCTGTGAGACTTCTTCATTGCAAGACGACGTGCTTTCTAAGGGGCCAAGACAGTTCCCCATGCCTGCTGACAACCCATTTCATAACTTCTGCCTCTGTGTAATCTGTTTAACTGAAAAGATAAAAATGTAGGGAGTTGGTCTATGCTTAAAAAGTTTTGCTGGCATGGCAATGGTATAATTACAACAGCAAAATCCCTACTGCAAGTTCAGTCCTACCATCAAAAGGCCTTTTTGTTGTTGCTATAATGTAGTCTGTTCAGTGAACTGGTTTAATTCTTACCAGCAAAACAACTTTTTTTCTTGCTGGTATAAGCTGTTTCTCTGCTCAGGGTGTTGGCTGTTGCCTGCTGTGTAATGCTTTTATAGCCCATCAACTAGATGTCTCCAGGTCACCAGCGACTGGCCCTGACTTCCCTCCAGCCATCATCCCAACAGAGAATGAACTTGGAACATCATGGACCGAATGGACTCGGCAGCATTATAGGGATTGGTCCATGCACTAAGAAAATGATTTTTTTTCCCTCTTGGTCTGTATGTATATGGATGTATATATGTGGGAGAGCGATGGTGTATTGAAAATGTGGGATCTGAGCACGACGTGAATGGTATGGAATAAGGGGTGGATAATGTCCTGGGTTCAGCAGTAGCAGTCATGTTTTTTCCTTTGTGTTAGCTGGTGCAGTGCTGTGTTTTGACTTCTAGTTTTGAGAACAGCGTTGGTGAAGCCGATGTTTTCGGTTGTTGCTAAGTGATGTTTACCCTGACCAAGGACTCTGTGAGGCTCATGCTCTGCCAGGGAGGAGGGGAAGCTGTGAGGAAGCAGAGACGGGGCGCCTGACCCGGGCTAGCCGGGGAGGTATTCCATACCACAGCACGTCATGCCCGGGGTGGGGGGTAACTGGGAGTGACCCGGAAGGACAGGAGCTTCCGGGTGGAACTCGTTTTCTTGGCCGGTGGTATCGTATTCTCTTCCCTTGTTATTTTCCCTTATCATTGTTTTAGCTGATAGTAGCGGTGGTGATTTGTTGCTGGACTGTTCTTGTCTCAACCCGTAGGAGTTGCACTCTCTCGATCCTCCTCCCCGTTCCTCCGGGAGCGGGGAAGGGGAGAGCCCCGGTGCAGGGAGGGGGGGGGGAGACGAACACGGACCTTGATTGTTGTCAGCTTGGCACCACTCACTGGGAGTGAGTGAACAAGTTACCTGACTGGGTTTAAACCACGACAGTCTGTCATAGGTATATGTCTCACTCTATGAAACTCGCTTTAGAGTAAACCAATAGCAAGAACAACAGCACAACTATAGTGTTAGCAATACAAGACCTCTGAACCTCTCAGTTCTGTTTAATGGTCTTTGTATTCAGTTGGTGAAGGTGCACCCGTGAAGGGAGCAATCATTTACAAACCACTTTTAAAAAGAAAGACAAAAAGTCACCAGACCCTCTATATATCCTTAACTGCCTCCTCTGGCTCTGAAAGGAAATCTACAATTTAAGGACTTGGTAGGGAGAGTCAAAGGGTTCTTCCTCCCCCTTGCACATGACTCACATGGTGACTGCAAATCTTTCAGCTGCCCCTTCTCCTACTGAGTGGCAGTTTTTGTCCTTTGGGCTAATCAGCAATGAGGATCTCTCAGCACAGGACGCTGCTCAGAATTATTAATTGAAGACTGTTAAAGGACTGCATTGTCTTGTATTCCATGTGGTATCAACTCTGTCAGCACAAATCTCAATGAACCAGAAAGACTTTAAGATTGACTTGTGCTCTAGTTGGGGGAAGAATTTGAAAGTGTTACCTACTACTATCTGTCGTGTTTGTAATTGCATTTACATTTATCTTCTTTCTCTCTAAATTAACAGCAGCGGTTACAAACACTGCCTGTATAATAGCACTACTGCTGTGGAAACCTCATCCTAAGCAGCTTGCTGTGTTTTTTGTATTCCCTGCTCTTTGGGGCCTATCTGATGCCATTTGGCAGACACAAACTAATGGTAAGTCTTGGTGACAATGAAATATATTCTATAGAGATATAAAAATTCGTATGGGTGTATTTATAAAACAAAGAGTGCATAAAAATTATAATCGGTTTAAGACAGCATCTGAAAGAAATATATTAGTTCATCGGAAAGTAAAAGAAATAAGAACAAGTTGGGAATAAAAAAGTAAAATATTCATTAAACATTTTTTTCTAAGGTGAAGAGGGAATAACACTGCAGAAGATGATAATGGGTACTCAGAATAAATATTCTGGAGGAGCATAAGTATTTCAAAGAAAATTGGAAAACTAAGAAGAATGACACATTTAGTCTGTCTTTTGCAATAAAGGAGAGCACTCTGGATAAAAAAATCAACTCAAAGTTCAGCAACAAAAGAAGCAGCAAATTGGCTGTTAGGAGTTATTTGAAAAAAGTGAAGAAAACCACAGAGAGCTACATTATGCAACCAAATAAATTCCTGCAGCTCTGATTTGCTCTATTTCAAAAATCTTAATCCAATGTGATAAGACATAAAAAGCCAATAAAAAGGAACAGAGTCATGGGAGACTTCCACTTGAGGAAAGACTAACGGACTGGAACACTATAGCCTGGACAAGTGATAAGTAAGGAAAACAGTCAGTAAGATAATAGTATGAAAAAGTTTAGAAATTCACTATTTCCCTTTATAACAGGACTAATGGTACCAAATAAAGTTATCAGGCAGCAGCTTTATAGAAATCAAAAGAAATGCTTTTTCTACATAATGCATGATTGAAGTATGAAATTCATTGCCAAAATGTAAATGTTTTTAAGCTGGAATTACATCACTTCAGGGGAAATATTCTGAGGGGGCTATTAAAGCCTGGTAGTACAGAGGAAGTTTCCAACTCAGGAAGTCTCTACAGCTTTGACTGAGAGAGTCAGGAGAGCACTAAGTGGGGAAAATCACTGTATACTTGCCTCAGTTATTACACTCTTAACCTAGGAGTCTGTTACTGGAAGTATACCATTTGACTTATATGATGTATTACTGTTGTCTCTAGAATCTTTTATGTTCTTCTGCTTTGTGATGTAGTGTGATTATTATGTACTTAGAGTTCAGATAATGAGCTGATATGAACTGACTTCCACAAGGGATTATTTAAACATATCCCTTAATCAAAACTAGAGGAAATTCTCTTCTAGACACTAAAGACAGACTCTAAAATGCTGAAGAGGGAAAGTGATATATATATATTGTGACGAGTTGAAGTAAAGTCTGCTCATGACTATCAGTCGCACTCTTTGTAAATCAATGCCTTAGCCTGGGTAAGAAGACAGTTACATATTCTCCCATCTGCTCTCATATTTTGCCTCTCATTTCATGAATATTGTTTTTCTCTATCTCAAATTCGTATTTGGCAGATGCCGTAGGAATATGCATGTGACAGAGCTAGCTCACCTGGGCCCACATCAGGTTATGTTTCTTGGCTTCCCTCCCTTTGATCCCTCTGGATGCTTCGGTAGCTTAGATGAATTTATGCACTAGATAAATTGTCATGTTCCTCCCAGAGAGCCAAAGGGAAAAAAACATCACAGTTCTTTGCGTGGCACTGACAGTGATCTCATCTCAAGAATATGTCCCCACCTCTACACAGAAGGAAGTGACCAGCCAGACTTCTCTGTGCCTCCAGCAGCTCATATCCCTTGGAGGAGAACTAGTACATATGTCAAGGGACACCCTCTCATCTTCTCTCATCTCAACCCACAGACTTGTGCCTTTGGTGTAATTTTAAATCAGTACTCTCATTATTCAAGTTCATGGAAGAACTTCAGTGAGGATTTGCTCTCTCTGAAGTAAAGCTGTTTCCTGCTTCTGCAGCCACAGCCTTCCTGGCTGCTAATCAGGCTTCTTCCCAGCACTCTTGAGAGCTATATCTCAGTCTCCCACCAGGATAAAGGACCTACTCTTTATCTTGCTTCTCTCTTTTCCAGAAAGCCTTGTCCCCAGATACTTTGCTTCTTTCAGAATCACAGAAGGGTTGAGGCTGGAAGGGACCTCTGAATGTCACCTGGTCCAACCCCTTGCTCAAGCAGGGCAACCCAGGCACAGTCATTTACCGTGGACCATGTCCAGGCAGCTTTTGAATATCTCCAGGGAGGGAGACTCCACACCCTCCCTGGGCACCCAAGCGAGTGTTCAGTCACCCTCACAGTGAAAAGTGTTTCCCGATGTTCAGAAGGAACCTCCTGTGTTTCAGTTTGTGCCCGTTGCCTCTTGTCCACTTTTGTTAGACACCACTGAAAAGAGCCTCCACCCCCTTTGCACCTCTGTTCAGGAATTTACATGCATTTGAGATGTCCCATGAGAAGGACATCTCCTCAGTCAGGTCCCTGCACACCTGACAAAGACGGACCTGATGACCTCCTTTGGAAAGAAGGTGTAACTGCAGAGAACCTAAGTGTCAGAGAAGGTGGCTAGGAAGTGATTGCAGTTCCCAGCCCCCAGATAGACAGTGAACAATGCTTCATGCTTACTCAATGGCAAGTGAGGTCTGCGGCTATGTGACAAGACTCACCTCCATTACAGCACTGTAACAGGTCATCTCCATTCCCAGATCCCTGCAGAATACTTGTGCAAATTCCATATTTGTGTTAGCTGAGAAAAACCCCAAATGTTCCTTATGCTTGCACAGTATCTTTTTTTGTCTGTACCTTCTTCAGCTGTTCCACAGCCCCCAGTTATAAAATCACAGTTTGCTTTGTCATATTGTCACCCTGAAATACCAAGTGATGACATAAAACCTTATCAGACAGGTGCAGTGACATTACTCCATAATGCTGCTTCCGAGAACGGAATCTCCAGTTTGACATACCCATTTAGGGCTAAATTTCTTTTTCCCTTTATCAGTTTTATACAGATACACATCATATGAGAAATTCTCAGCTCCAAAGGCTATCAGGTGAGATAAGACTTCTAAAACAGCACTGGGGACTAAGGTTTCTGGTCCTTCCTTTGTCAAGCTCCCATAACTGCTGCTTGGGCCTCAGTAGGTTAACCGATGATTGAACAGAATGGCATTGTGCCACGTACTAAAGGTATTCTGTGTTAATCAAAGATGGCTCACTTTGGCCTGTTGTGGATAGTTAATACTGGAGTTCCCCCTAGAGGATATATAGGCTCACAGTAGGTGAATCACTTGATTTTTTAAAGCTTTCCTAACATGTCTGTGTATGAGTGTGGACACCCTCCTTTATTTCCAAAGAAAGTTGCTTCATTTACGAATGTGTAGTGCCCTTTCTTATCTAACCTGAACACAGAAACTATTATTATCCCTCCCCCGGCAATAACTGCACTTGGGGTGTAACCTTTATATTGCACTGAGCTAAGCTATTGGGTAGACTACAGTAAAATAAAGTCCTTTCCAGGCTGACATGTATCTTTAGGAAGGATATAAATCAGTCTGGAAGGTTTATATACCTGGACTCAAATATTCCAGCAGTCCTGTTACATACCTTGTACATACTAGTACCAGGAGAACGAGTGGGAAAATAGGCATTGGCAAACAGGGAGGATAATTGCCATGGAAGTGAGCTGCAAAAATTCAGACCTAGCAGCCTCTCCACTTGGACAGCTCAGCAGGTCCTGTTAAAGCATCAGCCAGGCAATTTGCACAGTACTGCAGTTGACTGTTAGTGATAAGGACAAACGTTTAGGTTTGAGGCAAAACCACCACTGCACTCCCGTATAACTGCTAGTTAATACCATGTTTGCACCATGGAAATGAAATCTCTCCTGCCAAATCAGCTTTTCCTATAACTGAACCCTGGACTAGGTCCTCACTCAATTCTAACATTGCTTTGAATGAAAAAGAAGGCTTCAAATTAGCAAGGGAAAATAGGTACCAGCTGCAAGCCATTTTTATCTCAACACATGGAATTGTCATGGCATCAGGAACCTTCCTGTAATAACTCTCCTCACTAATCCCTTTCCAGAAGATAACACAGGTCACATAATAATGAGTTATTGTCAAATAATTCACACTACACTACACTCTGCCAGTTTAATGAGGTAAGTACATCTTGTGATGCTCTTGTCCAGATTTTCCATCATGTCTAAATTGAAAAATGAAGTAAATGTCCTTTTACAGTCATCAGGATGCGGTAAGTTTTTACATACAGAAGATATCTCCCCCTTCTTAACAAAACTGAAAGGTTAGTTGAGCCAACCCAGTTTTTTAGAGAACTTTGTACTCCTCTGTGCCTTTTGGCTGAATGTGCATATTTCACACAGATGTGTCGTTAAACAGAGAAGTGGATGAGAAGAATTAAGGTTCATTGTATTTCTTGCCTTCCCCCCATGCATACCACAGCTAAGTAAGTCAGTGGAAATGCCTGCTGCTTTATTACCCTTGATGCTAGCTAGCACCTGGAGGAAAACAAGCTCTCTCCCCTTCCCTGTGTGCACAGCTAGTCACACCTAGAGGCTGGGAATCCCTCCCTGACTCCCAGCTGTGGGTGTGCAGCTGACTGAACTCAGTGGGAGTTTCCCAGTGAGCACAAGTGCATTGGGATTACCAGTTTAACCAAGTTTCTATGTCAAGAACATTTTCCAGCTGCTGGTCAGAGTTTCTGTATACATCAAAGATAATTTTTTTTCCAAATTGTCCAGGACCTGAAAAATCGGAAAACCTACTTATCTCAGAGGCAAACCTTCGCATATATGTTACTACTGTTAGGAACACTGTGTGAGCCTCGCCTGGGGGCTTTCTGAAGCCAAGTTGTGGTGAAAACAAGTGACATGCATTTTACGTGCACAGTCTCTGCGTGTTCTTAGGCAGGTGAAAGAAAATGGTTTGAAGAACAGGTAGAGAGTGTAAGCAGGGTCCATGCAGGTTCCCCCCAAAAGTGGTGAAGGATGGCAGTGGGAGATCCCCATAGCTCTTTGATCCTTTCTACCCCACACTGAAAGAGCAACTTGGTCCCTAAGGACCATGTTGTCCGTAGACAAAACTACCTGGAAGCCTGTAAGGACTTGGTATAACCTTCTCAATAGGTTACATTCTGGCCATCTCCTCTTCTTCCTTACTTACTTGCTCATCAGTGCAAGAACCTTCCTTTTTTGTGGCTGATTGATAGCTTGAGAAATTAACTTCCTGTCATCTCACTCCGGTAGAGCCCATCCTTCCTTTCTTTTGCTTTTTCTCTGATAGTCTCTATTTTGTCATTTTTGCTCTGTTATTTCACTTACAGCAATTCACAGGAGCATAAATATTCTTAAAAACAAAGTTGGTGTTTTCCTTTCTCTGACATTTATGAGGGAGATTGTCACCTATTTATTCCCTTTGTGGAAAATATGTAGTTGCAGATTTAAACTCTGCAAGCCTTGTCTCTCCTTCATTCTAGGACTCTATGGCATTTTATTTGAGAAACACAAGGAGGCTGCCTTTGCAAATTACCGTCTCTGGGAATCGTTAGGATTTGTCATCGCCTTTGGTTACAGCACCAAATTGCAAATCTACATCAAACTGTACATTTTATTGTCTATGCTTGTGTTGTCTGTGGTGACATATGGAGCAGTCGAATACCTCGAAGCTAAGAGCTCCCCTGGGACACCTCCTGTTACAAAGAAGGAAGATGTAGGACCCCTCACCCAGGATACACATGTGTAACCCAACAGGGTCAAAGCGATGCAGGCAAAGCAAACTGGCTGGCTCCTACAGGCATGTCTCCAAAGGTGTTCCAACATGTTCTGTCTCCAGAAAGATGGTAAAGGGACAGATTTCAAGGCCAGTATAATGCAAATGTCTTAGGAGTAAAACCTCTTTTGACATCTCAGCTTTATAACGGAAGATTATCTGACTTTACCCTTTCATGCATATGACCAACTAAATGTTGTTTTGGTTTTTTTTTTTCAATTAATAAAGTCCTAATAAATGTAAACAAGACTCCTGAGGTCCTCATATTTCTGTATCTGCGCATCAGACCTAGTACCGTAGGGTTACATAGAATCATAGAATAGTCAGGGTTGGAAAGGACCTTAAGATCATCAAGTTCCAACCCCCCTGCCATGGGCAGGGACACCTCACACTAAACCATGCCACCCAAAGCCTCTGCCTAACCTGGCCTTGAACACCACCAGGGATGGAGCATTCACAACTTCCCTGGGCAACCCATTCCAGTGCCTCACCACCCTAACAGGAAAGAACTTCTTCCTTATATCTAATCTAAACTTCCCCTGTTTAAGTTTTAACCCATTACCCCTTGTCCTATCACTACAGTCCCTAATGAAGAGTCCCTCCCCAGCATTACTATAGCCCCCTTCAGATACTGGAAGGCTGCTATGAGGTCTCCATGCAGCCTTCTCTTCTCCAGGCTGAACAGCCCCAACTTTCTCAGCCTGTTTTCATACGGGAGGTGCTCCAGTCCCCTGATCATCCTCGTGGCCCTCCTCTGGACTTGCCCCAACGGTTCCATGTCCTTTTTATGTTGAGGACACCAGAAATGCACACAATGCTCCAAGTGAGGTCTCATGAGAGCAGAGTAGAGGGGCAGGATCACCTCCTTCGACCTGCTGGTCACGCTGCTTTTGATGCAACCCAGGATACAGTTGGCTTTCTGGGCTGCAAGTGCACACTGCTGGCTCATGTTCATTTTCTCATTGACCAACACCCCCAAGTCCTTCTCTGCAGGGCTGCTCTGAATCTCTTCTCTGCCCAACCTGTAGCTGTGCCTGGGATTGCTCCGACCCAGGTGTAGGACCTTGCACTTGGCATGGTTAAACTTCATAAGGTTGGCATCAGCCCACCTCACAAGCGTGTCAAGGTCCCTCTGGATGGCATTCCTTCCCTCCAGGGAATCAACCGAACCACACAGCTTGGTGTCATCGGCAAACTTGCTGAGGGCGCACTCAATCCCACTGTCCATGTCAGCGATGAAGATGTTGAACAAGACCGGTCCTAACACCGATTCCTGAGGGACACCCTCGTTACTGGTCTCCAGCCGGACATTGAGCCATTGACCACAACTCTTTGCGTGTGGCCATCCAGCCAGTTCTTTATCCACCGAGTGGTCCATCCATCAAATTGATGTCTCTCCAATTTAGAGACAACGATGTCGTGCGGGACAGTGTCGAACGCTTTACACAAGTCCAGGTAGATGACATCAACTGCTCTACCCCTGTCAGTTCCGTAGCCCCATCATAGAAGGCCACCAAATTGGTCAGGCAGGATTTCCCTTTAGCGAAGCCATGCTGGCTGTCACCAAGCACCTTGTTGATTTTCATGTGCCCTAGCATGCCTTCCAGAAGAATCTCCTCCAAGATTTTGCCAGGCACAGTGGTGAGACTGACTGGTCCGTAATGCCCTGGGTCATCTATTTTCCCCTTCTTGAAAATGGGGGTTATATTTCCCTTTTTCCAGTCATCGGGAACTTCACCTGACTGCCATGATTTTTCAAATATGATGGACAGTGGCTTAGCAACTGTCAATTAAACAATTGAATTAAATTAACAATTAAATCTGAAAAGCCCACGTGCAAAATCAGATGACAGCAGTGGAAGTTGTGCAGGTAATTGCAGAAAACAGGCATCATTTCATGGAACTACTGATAAATATTCATATGGTTCTTTTATCCTGCATTCTTTAACACTTGCTGTAAATAACATCAAGTTGTAAACTGGCTGTAGTTTGCAGCTCACATCTGAACACCACAAAACCCACCAAACGCTGAATCCACCAACTTGTCTTAGGTCAGCAGACAACTGTGTTTCCGCCTGTATCATCCCTCTGTCCCAGCACACTTCCCCTTTTGGGTTTTCTGTCTTCAGTTTTGCATCACCACTTACTGCAGCTTTCTCCTTTCACATGACCAAATACTTCAGTCGTGATGAACTTTCCCCACTTGCCCATCCACAGACAAAGCTGTTTTCAGGAGAAGTGGCCAGGGCATGTTACACGGGGAACTCAGTCATGAAAAGGAAGCAGATAACAGTGCAAGTCACAGAATGAGGAGAAAAGAAGGATGTGCCTATGCTGTTGTATCTCCTTGAGACCTGTACACATCTAGCAGTGGCTCAGGTAAGGATTTCCCTCATTTCATTTCAACTTCTGTTGAGTTTTACCCATACTATACTGTTTCCAGACTTGGATTTTTGTGGTTTTACTGCAAGGAGAAGAGTGCTGTAGTGCGATTACTGTGCAATGTCCCTTCATCTTGATGAGAAAGCACTGTACAGATATCATGAACATTACTGATAATGACATTATGATCAGATCCTCTGTGTGACGCAGAAAGCATAAAAGCAATTCAAGGCAAGTGCTGTTCATCTCCAAGATTAGTGCTGCTCCTGGAAACAAACTACATGGCTAGTTAAGTTTTTGCACTCCATGGAGCTAACATTTGAAACTACTTCTTCTCAGTTATTAACAATAGCAGGAGGATGAGGCACCATATGGTGCGACATTATAGAAATAAGTAATACAATTTATGTGTAAAAAACCCAAACAAATTGTTACGTTTTTTAAATAACAGAACTTTTCATGCTACTTTGCTATCTCTGTAACATTTCTTGTTCCCAAGCATCTGGACTCCACTCCAGACTTCACCTGTGTTGATTCATGGCTTTTCAAATGGAAAGCTTCTTTTCCAGGTTTCATACATTAAGTAGAGTTCATTATGTCCTGCAGAAAAGAAGGTGGTAGGTGGATCCCTCACAGATCCACCTTTCTCTTGAGCCTTTGCCCTGCCAGCTCAAAGGCATGCTCTTAATCTCTCTGTTGGAAACACAAATGGCAAAACTACTGTTTCTGCAGAATCCTGAAGGCCTCCCAGTTGTCCAGAGATAACAGATGGATCTGCTAGGCTGCTGCTGATTCTCACTCTGCCCTGCTTCCATCTGGTGCAGAAATTTGATTTCATTTCAATAACAGGCAGTGAAACACACCAAATCCTCCTCCAATTTCCTTTTGCACAGCAATGTTTAACAGCAAGTGAAGCAAAATTGTGCAATATTGATCTGTATGAGCATAATCATCTATTGGTTGTTTGTAACATCCCAACACAGAAATCAGGATCTCACTACATGAGGTGCTGCTATACAACCTCAGAGCAAAAAAGATAATCCCTCCCTCAGAGGGATCCCTTGATAAGTTTTTCTTTTTACTCCTGTACTAGGTCTGGCTGGGATGGGGTTAATTTTCTTCATAGCAGCCCATATGCTGCTGTGTTTTGGATTTTTATATCTGAAATGGTGTTGCTAGTACACAAGTGTTTTGGTTATTACACAGTAGTGCTTGCACAGCCTACGGGTTTTCTCTTTTTGCTGCTCTGCCCCCTCAGTGAGTAGGTTGCAGATGCTCAAGAAATTGGGAGGTAAGGCAACCAGGACAGCTGGAACAGTCTGACCAAAGGGATCTCTGAGGGGATTCAGAAAAATAATCCCAGTGCAGTTTCAAACTTGCTCCTTTCCAGCACTAGCTTAAACCTGAGATGGAAAGGTACTGCAAGTCTGACAGTAAAACATCACTGATTATATTAGTATGCATATTATCATCAAAAATACAGAATTACATATTACTTTGGAATATGGAAATTCATTTTATATAGAAATTTAAATTTTGGCCACAGTCACAGCCCATTAGTGAAGCTTATATTCTCTTTTGAATAGAAGCCTCATTCCTCACATCCTGGACCAAAGCTTGCTTCAGATCCCTTCAATTTTAGGTAATATTCCCTCACTAAAGGATATAAGGCAGTCCAGTGCTAGCTTTGACCTACATACTAGAGGCCTATGATGAAGTAGCCACTGCTGTGCCTCCCAGCATCCCTGAAATACCTTAGTCCCTTCTCTAAAGCCCTCCTCTCACCAAGCCCCCATTGAGACTCTCCTGGGTTTGCCCACTGCATTGTAAAGCACTTGCCACAGACTTCATGGCACTGCTTGTAGAAGAGCTCTGTGACTGCTTTGTGATTCCCCCTTGCAGCAGCAACATGCATTGGAGAGCCAAGACATAGGTACATCATATGAGACTTGCCCAATGTCAAGAGTGGAGAGAGAAACATGTTTCTTCATCCTTTGAGACTCTTTGAATTGTTTTCACATTCAAAATAGTGAGAATCTTAAATGGTTTTGTGACTTGCAAAACTTGTGAATCATGTCAATTTACGTTTTGGTAATTAACTCCACATTTGGCCTTTTAGTTTTAAAACTAAATTAGCATTTAAAAAAATCAGAACCATTGTCATTTAAAAAAAGAAAATAAGATACTGTAATAATTTCAAAACAGGGGAATTCAAATGTAATGAAAAAGCTGGCAAAGGATTACTTTTGTTCTCTGGAAAAAAGCTTTCCGTTTCAACAAATCATAATTTTTCCACAGAAAAAGCCTCTCTGGCCAACTCAACTATACATTGAATAGAGTACTTTGCGATGTGACATGTTCCCTTGGTTTCTGTAGTTTGGAAGGCAGAGGCTACTCATTCTGGAGTCTAAAACTCTGCCTGAAAAGAAAGAGCAAGTATGTCACTCCAGTAATAGGATATGAAGGAGTCTTGTGTAGCATGTGTCCTGCCCATTTTGTATTTCCTTTGCTTGCTGCTTTCAGAGAGGAGATACAGGTTGGTATATGGATGGTATATCAGAATGGTCTTCAGCACACCCTTTTCTTGTCCATTGCACTCTCTGTTCTGAGCATGGAGTCTAGTCCTTGGGGAGCAGCTCTGTGGGGTTTCAGGAAATCAAAACTGAGAGCAATAACAACACTCTGAAATCCAAACATATAAAGAAGAGATTCGCTGTGTCTGCAAATGGACCTTCAGCGAATTTCATTCTTAACTTTGAATATTTGGGGTTGATGACACGGTCCACTGGCAGATCAGTAACACAGCAATTCTCATTCTTCTTGCTGTAACCCCTTTACCAGCGGGCTCTGATTGCTTTGAGGTCTTTGGGTTTGACATCTTGATCAATGACAAATTCAAGCCATGGCTTCTAGAAGTCAACTACAGTCCAGAACTGTGTTTAGACTGATGACACTGTGGAAAGAAAACTTCTTTGTGATATTGTTATACTGCTGAACTACAAGCAGATTGACATTTTGAGGCAAAATCAGTTTCGAGGCAAGACTGGGATAAAGGGTGGCAGAAGGTGGATGCTCTGGAGCACAGCTAGTGAGAGTACCATCGAGGAGACTCCTGGTTTCCTTGCTTGCAAAACAGTGGCTAAATGTACTGCTGCTTCTTTTGTACAGCCTACCCTGCAGGCTGCAAGAGGATCAATTCAAAAGCTGGCTACCCTGACAGAGAAAACTGCCAGAGCACATCCAGGAAAATGCTGACTTCTCAGCTGCAGGAGAGGGTGAGCAGGCCAAAGATACCCTCCCAAGCAAAAGCTGAAACTAGAAATAACCAGTTCCCAGGAGCTGGGCATTCTGCATGCTTTTTATGTCTCCTCCTTTTCAAGCCACATTTTTGCCCCTTATTTCATTAATTCCTTTGCTATTATATTATAAAATATCACTTGAAAAACATATCTTGGTAAAAGCAATGGCAAGACACAGGTTGGCGAAAGTACTGTGAAATCTTCGGTAGTCTCAACCTTTGATTTCACCAACTAAAGGTTTGCTGTTGATTTGCCAGAAAGTAGAACTGCACTTGCAGGAAGCATTTGATTCCGGAATAATTTGGCCTCCACACCTGCATAGGTGTAATGCACAGGGGATATGCACAAGTCAGTCTCTAAAACTATGCATGCAACAATGCACGTGTGGAAACACCTTGCTGATGTTTCCTCTCACCATGCTGATGCATGCAGCACAGTTGAGAATGCTTAACAAAGCAAGGAGCAAGCAGCATACAAACCAAATTGTTCCTTATTTAATTTACAATTAGAATGGATAATATACACAGGTTATTGAATGGCAAACAGTGATTTAAGGCTAAACAAATCCTGTTTTCTGTATTACTATAGAAACAAAGAGAATGTCAGCATATTAAGTGGTGAACCTTTTGTTAAAAAGAATTCCTGGAAATAAAAACAGTGGTCCTTTAAAAGACATAGTATCACTTCTAGCTTTCCAGACAAACTGAAAACAGTAATAACGTTCTTTTTTTTCAGCATGGTTAATTAAGAAAAAAATCAACATAAATTAGTTTTGGTCAGCATAATGCAGCACTGAACTGAAATTCTTACTGAAACACATGGAAAAGAATGATATTTTGGTTTTATTTTAATTAGAGTTTCCTTTCACAAGCCGCATAAGTTATATTAAATATTTCACTAGAAAAAAGCACAGGTTTATAAATTGTTCCTTTGTTACACAGGAGTAAAGGAAAACAATGCATTTTAATATCACATGAGCCGACATCAAACTGCATGGATATTCCCGGCATCATGATCAAATTAATAAACTGAAGCGTGTGTATGATCAATATTAGCAACACTTCTTGCTCTATTCAATCTATTTCTTCCAAAGATGCTCTGTAACTTGAATGGTGATTCATTGATAGTCCGACCCACTGGAAACTGAAGAGAAGAAAGAGCAATTCCATAATCTTGAAATTATTTTGCACTTAGGTGTGAGAAACGGCTGAAGCAGCATGCTATGAAAGTGTTTGTTGCTACAGGAATTTATGGAGGGCATAAGGAGATAATTGGTCTTCTCAGTCAATGGGCAGGTAATGAGCTGAGCTCTACAGGGTAAATGCTTCAGTGCTTCGGAAAAATTCAAGACAGATGAAGGACAGGTAGTCTGTAGGGAAAGCAGTTGAAAGCATCATCTGATAAATGATTAATCCTCCTAGGTATCGAGTGCCATCCAAAGAGCCCTGAGGATGGAGAGATTCACTGACCAGAAATATTTTTGCACTACTGAAAGGATAAAGGCAGTAGTGGAAGAGGTTAATTCAAATGCAAAGCAATACAAAGGAGGTCTAAGGAAAGACTGCTGGTGGAAGAAGAAAGGGGTATTTCATCCAAAATAATGACCAGGATGAAATAAGCATTACATTTTGTCTTCAAATGCATGAGACAGAGTTCTCAGATTATGATCCTATAATTATTGAATAATTTAGGTTAGAAGGGACATCCAGAGCTGTGATGGTTACTCAACTCCTGCTCAGGTTTTGGTCTAATGTACAGCTCATGATAAGACCTGATACATGCTGGTATGTTCTGCTCCAAAGAATCGAAACCAACTGAAAACATTAATCACTTCTATATTTGTTGTGAGGTTAACTGAGAAAAAAACCCAGTACATAGATTTGTTCTACTTGGCATAGAATCATAGAATAGTTAGGGTTGGAAAGTACCTTAAGATCATCAAGCTCCAACCCCCCTGCCATGGGCAGGGACACCTCACACTAAACCACGTCACCCAAGGCTCTGTCCCACCTGGCCTTGAACACTGCCAGCGATGGAGCATAAACAGACATAAAGCAACATAAACTAAAATTCAAAAGCTTCTTATTCCAGACTTCTTTGTTGTAGTCACTTTTGTAACTAATTAGCAGAGAAACAAGGGAAAGTGTGATCAATATCGTGAAAAAAACACTTTGATGAGAAATATTACAGGCATTTATTTAAACATTACATACACAAACAGGACATGGCTGCATCTCCTTCAAGTCTTACCCAAGAGATATTTAATTTGGGTAAGTTTATTCCAAACTAAGCACCAGTCACTGACACAAAGTGAATTACAGCCCTATGGTTCCACCCATTTATTTTCACAAGGCTTAAATCTTCCTAACAATTCTGAACTGCCAAGAAAACAAGTTGAGCTACTTACGTAGAGTGCAGCCCCTTGAGGGGAGGAATCATTTCTTATCCAGGATGATATTACCCTCCTCATCTTTGATTTGAACCCGTCCAGTGGAGTACTTGGTTTCCTGTCTGCCATTGCAGTACACAGTTTTCACAGTGCCATCTGGGTACTCCCGCCTCTTGAACTGCACAGTGTGAATCTCCTTTTGGCCATTACTGAATACCACTATTTTATCTCCATTCCTGAAAGAAATAGCAATGAAAGAAGTGGTGAGAAGACACTATCAGTTATTAACCTATCTCACTGAGCTGTCTAATGTGACACAATGAAAGTGGAAAATAATGTCAAGTGGGAACTTTCTCAGATAGGTTATAATTCACTTCAGAATTTAACATGGGATGGCATGAGATCTGATATTACAGTAAGATTTCAATACAAAGTACTTCAGTGCATAGAATTATACCTAATACATTGTGAGATCTGCATTTTTAAATGACTTCTTTATGAGGGGATCTCAAGGCATTTTACAAGCAGGAAATCTGTTTTACAACAGGATCCTCCCTGAGCCCAGAAGAGGCATGTGTAAGAAAGTCTTATTGTTGTTTTTCCTCATTTTATGTAGAGGAATAGAGAGAGAATGCACGAAATGCTTTGCCCAAGATCAGAAAGCCAGACAAAAAGCTAGGAATAGAGCTCAGGAGTTCTCATCCTGAGTCCTTTAGTACCCACATAGCTAATACAGGCAGCTGGTGAATTCCCGGCAGCCTTGGCCAGTGTAAAGTTACATGGAATTAAATGAGGAAAATTTCAGAGTCACCTATCATCCAAGGTAGAAGTGAACAATTTTCAGTGCCTCACTGTAGCAAATCCCTCACTAGCTTACAAATCCTTTCTTCTTTCACGTGGAAATTTCCCAGCCATGCAGAATCCAGCCAGAGTTTTATATGTCAGTATTTTTGTACCTGTGTCCAGTGCCTGGTACCTGTCCCTAACATGAGACTTACTTTTCTACTTTCACTACTGTACCATCTGGGAAAAAAGTTTCCTTGAATCCATTGCTATAGAGGCATTTCACTGTGCGATCTGGGAACACAATTTCTTTTGTGCCATCAGGATAATGTCTTTCTGTGGAAAAGAAGATGTAAAAAATCTGTCTGGTATTCTTCCATGTTTCTTTACACAGAGCTAGATCAGGTGGTTTTTTTTTGACACTGTAGTGAGATTGGAAATGATATCCAGTGTACTGCTAAAGAAATCAAAAAATAATTGAATATTCAGATAATCAAAATTCAAAGAAGAGCATTTGCATCCATTATTATCTTTCTTCTGTAGGAAGAAACTGAGCAGTAAAGTGATGGAACATACTGGAAGAGAAATGCAAAGACAAAGCAAAATAGGGAGAAAATACCCAATCTGCTGGAATCAGAATAAGTCGACACTTTCAGAATAAAAATCTTCCTGCATGTATAATTCACATTTATGAGTTCTTACATACCTATCTGATTATTAGGGAACTGCAGCACCTCCAGGCCATCTGGATAAGCAGTGTGGGTTGTCTGTGCATCTGCATAATAATAAATCTGGAAGGAGAGTGAAGTGTTTGTAGCATGTTCACAAAATTTGCATAAGCAGATTCAACCATAAAAATGTGCTTAAAAATAACCCATCTTAAAAAGGTAATTTGAAGGTCATTTTCTGCCTCTGACATCCATAAATGCAGCTATTTTTGTACTGCTGTTCCTTCCTCTTTTTCATCCCCCCCCTCCTTCATGGCTGTGTCTAGATGACACTTCTTTCATCTCTTCTCTGCAGTATACAAGAGAACAGTGCACTTATGAAAGTCATCTTCCCGCCTCTTTGCTTCAGCTCCCAGCCATGCACTATTAATTTAAAATAGTTCTGCTGATGCCAAGGCCTAATTTCCACTCTAGCTCATGTTATTTTTAACTGGTTTTATTTACACAACACCAGATGGAAGAACCCCTATGATGGTGATGGCTTGACTTCACGAGTGAAGATTTGGGAAGGGCTTTACTATGCTACATGCCCTACAAACATACAAAAAACAGTCCTTGCTTCAGTTGGCTGCCCCTGCCCTTTGCCTTCTTTCAGTCTCCTTTAATCTGCTTAGCTAACTACCTGCTTGTTTCTTCTTTGCCAGCTACATTCATCTCCACTTTTGTCCTTATAAGATGAAGCAGTTTCACCGCTCAGGGTTGTTAAACCAACACCCTTCCTCATCAGTTTCTGATAAGTCAAGATAAATGACAGGACATTGTTGGAAAATCACTTAATAATTATATTTTACTTGAAACAAAACAGTTACACACCACTGTTTGATCTGGCATGATCTTCTTTACATCTCCATTGAAAAAGCTAATTGTTGTCATCCTTTTGTCAGCACTGATCTCTTTTTTAGTACCATTGCGGAAAGTGATGATTCGACGTCCATCAGTAAGCACCTCTTCTACCTTCAAACACATAGATCATCTAACATTAATTAAGTCAAAGCACCTGAGGTGCTGTGCAGGAAAGATTACATAGCCACTCAGACACAAATTGTCTAGCTTCATGGCAAGGAGTTGTGGAACACAGTGGGAAGCCAGCAGGAATTGCCTGCTCATCCCCTCCTGGAAAACAAGGACTTCCAGGAAAGGGGTGAAACCAGCTGCCAAGCTGAGCTATGGGCCTTCAGGAAAAGGAGCAGCTGGAAGCAATCTCCGGA